AGTTCAGACACTGTAGCTTTTTTTTGACTATTGGAAAGTCTCAAACTCTTCCATTGGTTGTGATTTACTCTCTGAAAGCCGTGACTATCCTTCCCAGTTTGAAGAAGACTCTGCTCGGCTCAGAAGCTTTATTAAAGTAGTGTCCAGAGAGGTTAGATTGAAGATGTCAACATTAGTGATTTCTTTTTCCATGTGATACTGGCAATGTTTTGAATCCACCTTTGGTCTCCTACTCTTCTGAGTCCATCTACCATTTTCGAAGATTTTCCCGTTGGCACAATTACTGTTGGAGTTGTCAGGGCCAGAACAAGGATACAGGTAGAACACATTTTCATTGTCCCATTTGGACCTTCCTCTGTGTTGAGTTAATTCTCCTATAAGATAATCATCAATCTTCGAGATACTTTTGATGATGTCTACCATTTTCCTTTGTATTTCAATTATAGCAATTTGTGGTTGTACAGCATTGTACTGAGCTTGCATTTGAGTGACCTCTAGTCTGCCGTCCTAAAAACACATGCCGTATCTACAACGAGCGCCAAGCGGAGAAAAATGAGGTTAAAATTATTTGATTAGTCCCTTGACTATTGGAAATTAAGACTATGTCATCAAATCAAATCAAAAAAAAAAAATACACTATAAAAATAAGTTAAGTACTCAAAAATCATCGTATTATTAACATTATTTAAAAAAATCATTTACGGCGGTTTTTGAAACTAAAATATTATGGCATTTAGCAAAAAAAAATGCCGTATGTGCGCAAAACTCTCATAATTGACAAAAATGTATAATATTATTTTACTTTGAATAAGACTATAGATTAATTTTTAAGTGCTTATTACGGTGCTTTATTAGGTTATAATAAATGAAATAATCGCAAATATAAACAGTTAGAAATTACAAATACACAGTAAAAATTCGACAAATAATTCTAATTTCTTACTAAAAACAATAAGCACACTAACTTAAACTTTAACGCTTATACAAAAAGGCACACAATAACAAATTGCAAAAAATTTCAAAGTTCATATTATCATTCGGGCAAATTTATCCAAAACTCTTTTCGGTTCTCTGGCATTAGTTTACCAAGATTTTATAATCGATGGGCATCTTTTTTGTTCCGGAAAACCTTATCAGTACGACGAAGTTGGCACAAATTGGTGAAAAAATAACCAGCCCTTTGTCATTGCCTTTTTGTATAGGAAATCTAATTTTTCAAATTCGTTGTTTAAAGAAGGATTATAATGTAAAAAAATGAACCATCGATGAGGGGGCTGTTTATTTGATAAATATAGCTTTAAATAAATTCTTTATTTTTTTGTTGTTCATTTTTTTTTTTATTATTATTGTTTTATTGCAAATTTTATTTGAAGACATTATTTTTAACTTCAGCTCGATTTTGTGGCCTTTTGTACAGCTCTACAAATCATAAAAATCGTATACCTTGCCCTTTTTTTTTTTCCCCTTTTTTATGGAAAAAAATTAGCCCCCCCTTTTCCCCCCCCCCCCCAACCCCCGTGGTGGTGGAAGCTATCGGCGGACATGAAAGTATGCCCGGGGCTCAAAAAATGATTAATATTTCGCTAGCCAATATTTCAGAGGAGTTTATTATCCTAACAAAGAAAGAAAAAAAACACCAAATTTTTTATTTTGGCTGGAACAATTATCCAGCCAAAGAATAATTTTTGGTGCGTCTCGATGCTTTAGAAAAAATGCATAAAAACTTACAAGTGTCGTTCTTGATCCCTACCTGATATAAGCTTCATCCAAAGCACTGCAAACGTTTTTGTTTTGACATAATTCCTACTGGGACAAAGCTTTCGTTATAAGTTGTAATCTTTTAATAACAGACACTGTAAAAGTATCGACCCTGGGCAACATGATCACCTTCTGCAAGTCCACGGAGAAACAAACAGTACCATCTTCAAACTTAGTTTTGGCATGCGTCTGGTATAATTCTCTGGAGTCTTTGGCGTGATCAATGTGCTTCTCCCAAGAGCAGCACTTTTCACAATTTTTGCAAATAATCCTTCGTGTGATCATGCAATTTGAATTCTTCACAGCGTTCACATTCCTCGTGTCCTAATGAAGCAAATGAAATATTTTTTGACCTTAACATCGTAAACGATAAGCTCGGTAAGCCTACTTTCATGGTTGGGTTATTGTGGATTAAATAACTGCAAACATTACAGAAACGGAAATGTCGCTCGGCAGATATCTTCGATTTGGAGCGTTCTCTCCTAAATATGAAAAAATAAAGTTGTTTTTTTGAATTTGAGATAAATAATGTTCTTTTCTAATAATCTACATACCTATAATGTGATATAGATGGTTCAAAAGATTCTATGTGCGCATCTACCAATTCATAGTTATTTTTTTCTTGGCTGATCTTGTCCGTTGATCTGGTCTAGCATTTAACTGGTTTCTTGGGATTTTCGTGAGAGTATCGTGTAAAACCCTGTCGTTCGTTTTTTTGTACCCAAGCGTTGTGGAGGAAAAAAAAATTTTCAGACTTCTATGATTTCACCATTTGCAGCTTTTATTTGTATTTAAAGGTGTTTTTGTTTCTTTCGCTTTCAGTAAGTTCGCCGTTTTACATTCAATCGACTGCATGTATTTAAAATAAACCCTTTTCTCTCCTTGCTAGAAAATTTCCAAAAAACTAGCGTTTAAAATTGTTCGTTGATCTTCTGGTATTAGCTTCACACACTTTTTTTGCATCTATTCACGTTACAACCAGGCAACACCTGGTGATCTTTAATTAGTTTTTCTCGTTTTTTTTTTTTTTTTTTTTTTTTTTTTTAAATACGTTTTTTTTCTTCCTTTCCTTAAATTGCATCTTTGTATAACGGATGTTTCATCTTCTGTTGCGATTCATATTTAAACACTTGTTATTTACTATCTGGCATGGCACATCAACTTTAATAAATTGGGATCCTGTGTCATTTGCAGTTTTTCCTTGGTCCAAACTAATACTTTGAATGGTAGGTCCTGAGGTAAAATTTCCACATTATTTCTAAGTACTAACATTTGTTAGTTGTTAGCACTAGGGCCCTCTTTATTAAAAATTTCCGTAGAATAAAAGCCTTGCTCTGGTCGGTATTATTTATGGCAAAACATCTTTGATCGCATAATTTAAAGTAGTCAGAAGACAACCATCTTCAGTTAAAACTTCTATATTTTGCTGATTAGGTGTTGTAGCCCAAGTGTTGTTATCGGGAACGGGGGGTTCTTTCGAAACCAAAGAAAGAATTTTCTGAGTTCTACTTAACATTTCCTGAAAATATAAACGAGAGTTACTAACAATAAAAGCTGAAATTAAACAGCCATCGGACGACAGCTTACTTAAAAGGCCGAGCAACACATTTTAATATATATTGTTTTTTTGAAAAAAAAAAACAAAACAAGCCTACGAATTTAAACTGAAAGATTTCCTTTATAACAGAATAATAACTGATTTAGAACCTTAAGAAGTATTCTTACTTAACAATAGGTGAGAGTGTTGTACCTTGGGTCAATTTTTAGTTTATGTGTTTTAGAAAATCTAGAATTATATATTTGCGCAGTTTAACCAATGCATAGGTTACTTTGGCTCTTTAAGCTATGTAAGTTTGGGTTTCCATACAGAATTTTAAGTTTAGTAGTTAGTTAAAAATACATTTTAGTCAACCCTTGCAAACTGACCCAAGGTACAAATTGGTAATGTACCTTGGACCAGCATATGTTGTACCTTGGGTCGGGTTATAAAAAAAATAAGATATCATAACAAATTTGAAAATTTTTTATTAAGAATCTTGAAATAATCAGAACATTATGAACAACTAATGATTAATTTCGCATATAAAAGCTTATTTTACGTTATACCCACTAAATTGAACATTAAACTGCAGGTGTGCATCGTGACGAGCAGTTCCGCTTATTTTGTATTAAAACTGAAAAAAAAAAAAAAAATCAGTTTTCAAAAAATCATATGTTTCAGTAGAAGTCATTTAATAAACTCATTTGAAATCTACAAACTCTGCGTAAATCATTAAGTTCATTATTACTCCCACTATTTAGTATTTCGGCAACATAATAAGTGAAAGATTTCTTTCCCGCTACTTTTACTAAAACAAAGTCTCCTTTTTGAATTTCGTCATTTTCAGATAAATCGTATAACTTTTGATCATGTAATAATTCTTCCTCTCTAGCTACTAAGTCCTCAAACGTCTCTTCATTACTTGAACTTGATTCGCTATCATATTTTAGCAACCTCTTTGGTACATTTTTATAATTCTTCTGTGATTTGCTGTAAACTGCTTGTACTTTCTCAGATGATACCTTGCCATGAGTCTTTCTCTTTTTAAGCGCCGCTATTTCATCTTTCTCTGGCGTGTCGGTGAGTATACGCGACTTTCCCCTGGCTCTTCCTGACTTCATTTTGCGAGGCGGTGCCTTTGGATAGGGACGCAACATTTCAGGTGTAATAGAACTTCCTGATATTCCGGCTTGTAGTGTATTTGAGGTAGATGGAGTAGAGGTGGCCATATTTGCTGCAGTCTTAGTTTGTTTCCCCTCTTCAACATTGATATCGTTACGTTCGTCAGTATGCTGGCTGAAAGGTCGATCAGTTACATAGCGACAGAAAACTCAGCTCTTCCAAACATTTTCGTTGGACAGGAATAGAGACCGCAAACCTCGCAAACCCCTTCTGGATTTAATGTAGTGAATCTTCTGGAATGCTTACCTAAATCAAAGAATTTTTATGAATACGTAATGCTAAACTCTTATCTTAATAGCAATGCCTTACCTACAAGCTCAGCTATATCGTAAATCGTGATAGGTTGTCCAGGATGCATAATCATCCACTCACTGCAGGCGGTATTATAGTATAATTTCATTGGCCCAAAAACTGTTCTATCGAGCGGTTGCATCTTGTGGCTCGTATGGAGATGAAAAAGTTATCGGAATAATCCAATTCTTTACAAAAATTAATACATGACATTCACGTGGCTATCGTGTTATCCATGATAATATAATCGGATCTTCAATAGTGGTTGACATGATTTGAAAAGGTGCAAAAATTCCAAAAACAATGATTCGTTAGACCAGCCGGACGGATTTGCACCTCCTATTGTTCCAACTGGGCAACCTTTTAGCATATGGGGCTTGAAATTTACCCTCGGAAATATCATCATTGGTGGTAGATGATTTCCAATTGCATTTATTGAGGCTATCAAGGTTACATTTTGACCTCGCTCTCCACTGGTAATTTGACCTAATTGCTTTATACCCTTAGGTCCTATAATTTTTGGTGGTACATGGACAGTCGTTAGCCCCTGTCTCGTCACAAATTCCAAATTTTCTGGCGTAAAATTTCCACGAGACAAGCCTTTTTTATAATTCCTAAAAAAAGAAGCTACGTTTGCCGCATTGAAGGATGTCGATCTGGCCAAACTTGTGGATTCGGGTTTACGAAGTGATAAATCTCCATGTCTTCTAAGATACTGCCTCAGCCATTCTTTGCCAGCTATTTTATTTTGGTCCCAAGAAGACGGATGAGGCTTGTTATTCGCAATTGCATACTGGTATGCTAAAGTACGAACTTCAGTTTTAGTCAAACCATAATGCAAGCGCGCAGGCAGTGAGAGGTAGATTTTAAATTCATACTTCCTCTTGTCTACTAAAAACTTGTTTCACATTATTGGCAGCAACATATGAAAATTCTGTGGCTTCAGAATGTCTGAAGGATTTTACATGCCTGATCAATGTGGTTTTTGACACGTTATAGCACTTTGCCGCTTCCCTAATTGATAACTCCCCGCTTACACATTTATTTGCTGCTGCAATTAAAGCCTGGGAGTCTATACGTGGCCTCTTGGCACCTACTTTACTTCGCGGCATTTATTATTGAAAACATTCGAAACAAAAAAAAGCTTCTTTGAGTACAGATACTCCGATTAATTCAAATAAAAGTCAAAATAATGTTAATTCTAAAGAAGTTTGTACCTTGGTCCGGACCAAGGTACACGACCTGTCAGTGACCCAAGGTACACAGCTGTAAAATTCAATTGTTTTCTTCTGATTTATAATTTTAGGTTATGGCTTCACGCAAAAAATACATTCATATTTATTACGCCTAAACATCTATTCTCAGTTGTAACAATAAAAAATACATATATTTACAATTGACACGGATGTTAACAGATAACTAACACTTAAATAATTTACTTACATTCAAGCAAAACACAAAACAAAAAAGCCAAATCGAAGAGAAATCGACAGTCGGTAAGGAAGAAAATCAACTGACCCGAGGTACAGACCGGTCCGAGGTACAACACTCTCTCCTACGTCGCATCGTAGTATTTTAGAATAGTTTTTTTGGGTAATTCGCTTACTAAATTACGGAAAGTATACATACCTGCCCTATATTATCCAAAAATGCGAAAAACTTGAAAAATGTAACACAGAAAACTAACCCTTGACGCTTGAAGAAATACACTGTGACAGAATTCGGCGATTAATTGATTATGGCGCATAACCGACGTAACTAATAGCAAATTGCCGTATCTGACAGGTTCTAACTCGAAAGGCGGTATCTACACAGTTGTGGAAGTAGATACGGCATTTATTACTGGTAGCAAGCATATACCGCGTTATTTCTTAAAACAGAATAATAATTTGGTAGATACGGTCATTTATTACGTGCGATTTCAAATATTTCGAAGGCATATACGGCATATAGGCTTGGTAAAAAGTTAATTTAGCTTGTTACTGATCCATTGATGTAAAAATCTCAAAATCCGTTTTTTTGTAGATACGGCATGTGTTTTTAGGACGGCAGTAGTGCATTGATTTGTTCAACAAGATCACCAATGCTTGCAGTCCAGTGCATATTATATATACTATATTTATATTATTTTTATGGTACTTTTGTAGTACATGTTCTTTAGGCCTTTGCATGTAGCTACCTCAAAAGGTGTTTGTAAGGAGCAAAAATAAAAATGAAATAAAAATAATCTTCTGTTCGCATAAAAAAGTCCCAATGTTTAATTGTTACATTTTTAATATATTTTAGTAGATAATATATAAAAAATTAACTTCCATGTGCATAACAAAACCATAATTAAAAATAAATATAAATTTAACTTTTATAGACAGTAATGACACTCGCAAGCAAATTAGACATGTCGGACGAAAAATCGCAAATATGGGATATTCAGACTCATCTTTTAATATCGTAATACTGGGGACATTAGTGTACAGCCTTCCACGAAAGGAATAGAAGACTATTGGCTGTACTGGATACTGGACTATTCCTGTCAACCTAGTTGAAAGGAGCATTTTGTGTTTGCCTTAATTTATACAGGCTAGGAAAGGTATTTGTCCCTGTACTGTTTACAACAGACCTAAGTAATTATATTTTCTTTCAGACAAAGATGTCTAAGTAAAGAGCTAGTGCCTGATGAGGAGAGAGTGATGTAGTGGCGCATAGTAAAGAACTTACTATTTTAGCTGCATATTCTATTTCATTAGTGTTTCTGTCAGCAGTGATTTTTTGGCATACCTAATTTTTGTCTTTTTGGAACATTTTTCAAACGGTTTTAAAGGCTTTCCGCGAGTGCGGCATGTGCCAACCTGCTCTAAGTCGGCGCTATTTCTTGCTTGACCATCTGATAAACACTGTAGCATTGGTATCTTGCTTAGCAACCACGCTTTATTTCGGTCCTCAAATCGAAGGCTGTTTCGAGACGACCTAGCCCATCTTCTGATTATATTGAGGCAAAAGGGTCTACTTGCATTCTCTAAGTGGTGTCTCATTTGACTGGAAGCTTCATCAATATCTAATAACGAGCATATTTTTTGAAACACAAATAGTTTTGGGTTCTTGTCCTTATGATCGAGCCAAGTATTAACAAGATCGGCATTGCTTATCGATTTCACTCCATCTGAAAAATATCAGCAGCAGACGCAGGTGAACTATACAAAAATTAAAAAAGTAAAGGCAACATGACAATAAAGAGGGCAAACACTGATAATTTGTAAATACCGTTAACAAAATATAATGTTTTGCATCGGGCATATACCCAATCGGTAAATACAGGGTACATAGAATTTGGGTATATGGTATATACCCGGTATATACCTGGGCAAGTGTTTATTTTGTTAATTTAACGTACTATAACAAATTTTAACAACAATTTGTTGTTATCTTAGAACATTTAAAAACAAAGTGCCGTAAAAATGGGTGAATAGAAACAGTTTCGTAGGCTATTAGCGATATACCGGTTGATAAAAAAATGTGGTATTATTTTCCTGAAAGCAATACGGTAATCGAACGAAGTACAATTGAT